TCTATTTCAAGAAGAGTAATCCATAGTTGTCTAATTTCTCCGATTTGTAAATAGAAAGTGTTAATTGACGGTGGCAACATGCTGGATCTAGTCATGTTCAATACTTCCTTAAAAAAAGTGCATACCCTGATGAAAAAAATACCCTAAATTTGATTAAACGATTATTTTTTTCGTCTAAATGTTTATGTTATTATTAAGAGAAAATACAAAAATATTTTTTTGAATATTTTTAAAATATTTTTTTTAAAATCCTTTCTAGCACATTTTCTTCTTCTTTTGAAAAATGTTTAATTGAATTTTACAAGATTTTTAAACGGAGAATTTCACTTTTTACAGTTTTCAAAAATGGCTGACATGATCGAGTTTATGTAAATTTTGCTGACTCCAAAAAAAAAAAAATCTAGATTTTATAATTAAAATATCAAACCAGCTAGGAAGGAATAAAAAAAAAAATTAAAAAAAATATTTCAAAATACATTAGTCTTCCCTCTTATTAATAACATGAACTTTTTCATGTAAAAAATTTGTTTTTATTATGTTTGGAGCCATTTTTCCATCACGCTATGGTGTTCTTTTGGCGAATTATTAAATATACCGAGTTGAATCTTAATTTAAATCGAGCCTGATAAAAAAGATTAAACCCAGTATTTATAAATGTTATCTGTCTATACACCCTTCACTCTCTCCCTATATATATAGTGATTTTCCAAGCGTAGCTTAGATATGGCACGAGACTGAAAGTACGGTGCACCCAGTGAGGATCGGACTCAGTACACAGCCGTAATTGTTCTAGCGGGATAAGATTGCTAACCATTACACCACCTCCCTATATATATATATATATATATATATATATATATATATATATATATATATATGTGTGTGTGTGTGTGTGTGTGTGTGTGTGTGTGTGTGTGTGTGTGTGTGTGTGTGTGTGTGATTGCGTTCAAGGATGTAATATATTGTGACCACTCGGTGTTCACTTCAGTGTCCACTTTTAAATTTACATACGCTCTATGCCTGATATTGAGCACTTTCAAACATAAATATATCATATGTGAAAACTTTATTTTTATCATATATATATATATATATATATATATATTGATAATATTAATGGTTAATATGTATATATATATATATATATATATATATATATATATGTATATTTCAAGACGATAAAATCCAGGTAGATCTCAATGTACAATACAGAGCAAGAATATAATATATAAGGCTCAAACACTAAAATTCCATGGTTATAATTTTTGAATTTCCAGGTCTGATGAAATGGATCGTGATTGCGATTCCAACGTAATAAACTAGAAACATGGTGCCTTTTATATTATATATATTTGAGCCTTTATATATATATATATATATATATATATATACATACATATATATATATATATACATACATATATATATATATATATATATATATATATATATATATATATATATATAAAGGTGTGTGCATGTGTGTGTGTGATAGTACCTATAAAAGAAGGATATCTAAGGTTTAAAATGCATTTTAAAAGTGAAAAATCTTCGTTGAAGGTTTTATTTTTTTGCTTTAAATTCACGCTAATAGATTAAATTTCATATTTTCAGTAAGCAAAATACTTTGCTGCATTTCAAATTGAATTTCAATTGATTGGAATGATTTTTTCTTATCAGTAAAATCGCTAAAATTGTTCATATTGATAAATCTGTCAACACAACATATTTCTTTATCAAAAACAGTCTTTCAAATATGAAATAAATTTTTCTGGAACTTTATTTGTTGAAGACTAATTAACCTGAATTAAAACAAATATGTCTTACTTTTATTTAAAATCCGACAGAAAATCTTTTTTTTTTCACAAGAAGGCGCGTGTTTTTATGCATTGTTTATAACCTGATGTCTTCGAGATTTTATATAAAGGAGGAATAATAGTAGTCCAATATATGACCAATACAACATAAACGCCTTTTTTAGATAATTCTTTAACTACAGTGTAACCCGGATATAAGAGAGTTGTCGGGACCGGAGAAGTAGTCTCTTATATCCAGGTTTCTCTTATATCCGGGTTTGGTCTATTTTGTTTAGGTAAGTATGGCTCTAATTTGGGACCAGAGAAAATCTCTCTTATATCCGGGTTTCTCTTATATTCGGGTATCTTATATTCGGGCTACACTGTACATTAAATTATTTTAATCATTCTACTATTTTATTGAATTTTAGGTACTTTGACTCTGTGCTTGTTTTCTTTGTGTTTATATTTACTTTAGAAGACGCTTGTGGTGGAAATATTAGAAAATTATACGTAAATTTTAAATTTACTATAGTAACCGTTCTTATTTTCTGATAATTTCATGTATCAACAATTGTAATTACAAATTCAGTATGTTTATGCACGTACAAAGAGAATTCATAATTCTTTTTAAAATGCTTAGGGTTGAAAAATTAGAGTAAACAGTTTGAATTCAGCAACAATATCAATATACCGCTACATAT